TAACTCAATAAAGTTCACACAACATCAAACATCTAGCTGCGTTTATCATCCTATCATATCCTATCCATATCATTGCAACCCCCAACATCTAGTTGCGTTGATCATCCTTTCCATATCGTTTTTTTCCCTTCCATTTCCACATATGTTCACCCAATTTTCACCCATTTCACCCAGTGACCCTCCAGGTTTCACTTCCGCAGTAATTTGGTTCGCTTCCTCCACCATCTGCGCCGCCTTCCGTGCCATCAATAGGAACTCCTGGACCGAGGTCGCCCCATCGGAGTCCAAGTTATTCCTGGCATCCCGAAGGCTCGAAAGGCCCGAAAGGCCCGAAAGGCCCGAAAGGCCCGAAAGGCCCGAAAGGCTTGAAAAGCCCGAAGGAAAACAAAAAGCACAACTTATGACAACCTGAGGATCTATGGTGACTATATATTGTATAGTGTGCATGTATCATGTATGTATATTACATATATATATATATACTATTATATATATTATATATATACTATATTATACTATACCATACTATATTAAATATATGTGTATATATACAATATTTATAATATATATATATATGTGTGTGTGTGTCTATATCACTATAGGCTATAGGCTATAGAGCTTGTGTTTCCCCCCCAATCTTTCTATTGATTCTCGATTTATTGCGTTTTGGTCTGAGGTGTTTCAGAAAAACACAATAGCACCATGTCATGGACAGCGGGCCATCTTGCAGGGGAAAAAACAACTGATGCCACCAAATGCTGTTTTTCCCCATGGCAGGGAGAAAAAAGGTCCAAACTTGATCATGTCAAAGCATCTGCTTCAACTCTGACATGAATTTCAAGGCCATTTGCAGCTGCCCGGGCTCTTCAGCCCTTTCTTTCCCCAGGATGTCCAGGATCAAAGACTCCTGCTGCGAAGGCCGTGCCATCGGAAGCTTCTCAGCTGGAAGGTCATGAATGGAACTGCCAGGCTGTAGGAAGGCATAGAGACACCTGCGAGGAGAAAATCAGGAAACCATGCTTCAACAGCTGTCCTCTAATATTCCCCTCAAACCAACTCCGGAACTCACAGCTACTCTCTAGACCTTACTAAGCCTTACTAGGTAAATAAACCATCTATAAAATTGCCATTTTCCATGTGCCATCCCATTTCATGGGATAACCGAACATCATGGGTTTTTTTCAAGCCCTATGGCTCTATGGATGACCATCTCCGGCTGTATCCACAACCAAGTGACACTGACCGCCCCAGCACCACACGATCCAAATGCTGTAGCTCAATGGCTTCCAGTTCCTGCAGGCGACGGCCGTTCACCTGGCACCAGCCGAAATGATCAACGAAATCCCCATGATATCCCCATATGTGTTGGTTAAATCACCATTATTGCCGCTTAACAAAGAAAAACAAAACAATATGTAGGCAAACTAGATTCTAAATCAAAATGGATATAAAAATGAGATGAACCCAGTCCACGATCATAATGAACACCTTGGAACAATGGGAACCTAAAGTGAACAAATACAGTGTATCCACATGGTTCCCTCTTCCACCATGGTGACTGAGTAGAATTTTCCTTAGGAGAAAGGGATCAGTCTTGGTATTTTAAAAATTAAGCTGGTGGCTTCACCCCAGCGTTGCTAAAGATTATTCTATCGGAAAACCTCAGGATTTGAACAGCATTGATCCATCAACCATCCAAAAGCCACCAAACATCCATGTTGTTCAACTTGCGGCTGCCTTTAACCCCAAAAAAAGCACATCGATCAACATCCCCCCCAAAAGAAAGATCCGATTTCATTTGAAATGGCACCTCAATGCAGGCCACCAGTGAACTCTTCAGTGGCGGCTGCCATTCCTCGTCGTCCTCGCTGTTCTCATCCTCGCTGCTGGATCGCTCGCTGGGCTCCGCCGCAGCAGCAGGGCGAAGGAAGAGGCGTCCCGTGGCGTCGCGCTGGATGTAGCAGGTTACCTGGGAAGCACTGGGGGTCTAGAAACATTGCTGGGAAACGTCCCCCTTTCCCGAAAACTGAGTTTGGGGATTTCCCATGTTTGATTACTGGAGGGTACATGATAGGTTTTCCTGAGGATGTCGTGGAGGATAGAAAACTGCATCATTTCGAGGTTGGAAAATGTTGCACAAACGTTTTGGGGTTTAACCCCAGAACGGCGGTCGAACCAAACAAAACAGGTTAGCGTGGGGTCTCACGTGCTTTTTAGACAAAAAATGGGAGGTCTCAACTGGTGACATTGACCAACATATATGTTAGCCGACAAGAATGACAGCTTCAACTTGAACATGTTTTGGCCGTTTCAACAAAAAATGGTGTCAACTGTGATAAAAGCCTTCAAGCCATTTGGAAAACATATGCCTGGTAAGTTTGGGTGTAAGTCAACCCAACACTAGTGGCATTCTCATCAGCAATGCCCGGTATATCATATCATATCATATATCTAGTCTATATATATATGTGTGTGTGCCTATATATTACATAAAATATTATATATATATATATATATATGCAGTATTTTGGGGCTTGCGTTTAGGGCCAAACATGCCCCGTCCATCCTCCCAGAGGTTGCATAGCCTGCTGGATGCCCAGGCCGTGAGGAACGAGAAAGTCACAGACCTTGGCATGGAGCCGGGGTGTGGAGAGGGGCCAATGGGATAACCATCAATAATAGCCAGCATTAATTATGCCATCATTCACCATCAATAATTAATGTGTATTAATGTGTGGCTCATTCACCATGAATAAAAACGGAGAGGTGCTAGCGGCTAGTGGGATATGGACGTATGTCAATCATCACTCTGAATTACCGACCATCCACATATAAGCAGTAGTTCACTCAGTAGTTTATGAGGAAACACTGGCTGCCCAATCACTGTAAAGTCAGCCATGGACAAGAATCAAGAGGGGAAAGGAAAGCCCAGTCCACTGGCAACAAACCCAAAGCCCAAAGCAGTCCAAAATCTTGACCAATTTTCAGGCCAGAAACCTTCTGGTTGAAACCCAGGGAATATTCCCGTCCCACCTGCAATGGGTGGAACATAAGCCTGCCACACATGTGAGGATCATCCGAATAATTCGCCAAATGCGGGATCCTCTTCGAGTCCTCCTGTGCCACTGGTAAACCGAAAATGACTACAAATCTGGTGGATCATTGGTACCCCCCCATGTCATGTTTCGAGGGTGTCCTCCATGACCGCTCCTAGTCCACCTATATTTGTGGGTCTTGTGCTGCATCCCAATGATCCAAATGGCTGGTTGATCCCAGTTACGACTGTGGGCTCACTATTGTGGCGCGAACACGGATTATTTACACATGTCAATGTCTTATTTCTTGGGGGCCTTGGGACTTGTCTTATTATTGGGATCAACTCCCAAGCCTATCATGCCCATCCTCCTCTCCAAAAATTATGAGTTGCTTCCAAAAAATGGAGAGTGTCTCTGATTATTCCACATATAAACCGCATAAACATCATAAACGGATCATAAACCCACATCTTTCAGATCCCAATCCCCAACATTCCCCAACCCCCCGTCCTTGGTGCGCGCCAACACACTATGCACGGCCCAGCTCCACCGAGGCGCGCCCAACTTCTCCAGATCCGCGCCGCGCTGCGACATCAAACGCTTGGCCTCGCTTTGCGCCTCCTCCCAGCCCTTGCGGTAGCGTTCCATCAAGGCTTCAGTGGCCTGGCGCGCCGTAGCCGGTACCCAGTATCAGTCGAAAAAAGACATCATATCGATAAGGTTAAAACACCGAGCCTTTTCCCAGGCATTTTGAAACCTGACATATCTGATACATCTGAGATATTCTGGTATATCTGAGATATTCTGGTATATGATTGCAACCCAAGAAGTGTGCAGCCACCCATTTGGGTCCTCCAATTTGTCCGTCAAGGCATCCGCATGAGTCTTCTCTTCGGATTCCGCGAGCTGCTCCTGGCGGAAGGGTGGTTAACGTGAACCGTCAATGGTGGTTGATCCACTATTTTTAATAATGAATGGGAATTCTCAATTGATTTACAATGTTTACCACTAATTGATCAATGGAAAATGATGTATTTTAATTAGTTTAAGGTGTGAATTAACATCACCTTTAGCGGGGGTGAACCCATATCTAACCACCAAAAAATGTATTTTTACCATGCAAATGGTGACATGTGACGACCCCTGCAGCAAACAATGGCAACAAAATCACACCAACACCACGATAATTCAAATTGAATATGTACATGTAGCATGTTCATTCATGTTCCTTCATACCACAGCATTGATGGCCGAAACTTACCAGAACAAAGCTGAAATTAGTCACCAAACAACAGAAAGCGGGAAACAACCTTCCCTTTCCCCCTCCAAAAATATTTTTCGGTAAAAAAAAATCAATTTCCAGTTCCAGGCAGCCCAGGCATCCTTCAAGTGTTGCAACTCTTCCTGCAAGCTCTTCACCAGCGCATCTTTATCCACCGCCGAGGCGGGGTTCGCCTTGATTTTGATGTTCTTCACCGTCGAGGCGAAGGTCAAGGTGCTGTAGCTCTCCTCGAAATTCGCCAAGGCTGGGCTTAAGGTGCCGATCATGGAGGTCTTGCTGTTGCCACTCAAGGCATTGGAGAGCAGCAGCGTCAACTTGGAATTCCTGCGAGATTTTTTGTTGGTCAAATTTCGGGGGTGAAATGGGGGATCCCGAAGTCACCATGGTGTTCAATACTAAAACGGACTAATTTGGATGATTTGAGGCTACACCAGTTCAGGAAACCGCCTTTTGGTGGTTGATTTTCCCAGCTATAAACCTCCAGTTGGTTCGTGGATTTCCAATTCCCATGTTTGATACCCGGAGGGGAACGGAACCCAGGCTAAGTGAAACGTGGGAAGGATGAAACTTCACCTGATGCCTGATAGTAGATCCTGACACAAATTGAGACATTTCAAAACATCTTCTTTAGACAACCTTTAACCATTCAATATCCTCAAGCATCATTATTCCTCTTCCACCCATGCCACTTAAATCTCCACTACTGATGGCTGTAGCCCGTTCTTCCCATCATATCACATCTAATACATCCCCAAAATATCCCAAAATAATCAAGTGTAATGTGCCTTTTCCTCTCACTTCATGGATCCAAGAAATGTAACGTCAAAACATTATTTGCTTGATTGTATTCATGTTTGTAACTACATCTCATGTTTATATGGATCTCAATAGCTGGCAAATGCGCGTTCCTTCTGCAAATTCGGATAAGTAGGTTTTGATCCATAATACCCATATGTGTATTTTGCCAGTGCATGCAAACGCTTGAGCTGGGTACTATATATATGTATATATATATATATACCATGATATAATTATATATACATATATATATATACAAATATATATATATATACAAATATATATATATATATATATACAAATATATATATATATGTGTGTGTGTGTGCGCGTGTGTAACATGTATGATATTCATGTCCATATTCCACCCACACCAAAAGCTCCCCTCCTGAAACGCGACATCAGATTCGTGGCCGCCGCCCCAGGGGCCATGCTCTTGCGGCTATCCGGCTTGGCTAAGGCTTGGATACAGCTGGCCAGCCACATCAAGCCTGGCTGAAGACTCCCATGGTCCAAGAAATGGGATGGGTATGGATGGCTTGAATCATTTGAAGGGGAGAGTTGTGGAACACTGTCCCTTGAAAACCGGTCTTCTTTAACCCCCGAAAAAAGGTTTTAATAAAAGGTGTCCGGCAGATGTGTTTGTATTGAACCAAGTCTGGGACCCTAAAAATGGGGAAGGAACCAAGAAAAAGGGAATGTAATGAGCATATAGTCTGTACTGAAATTTCATGGTGATAATATGATACCAGTAGTACCGCGCAAAGCGGTGAGCGGAAGCTTCAACGATAGGAAACCTAAAGGAGAGGTGAATTGTTGTAATTCATGGATGGCAGAGCGAACTGATGGACCGAAAGGTGGTTGAGGCTCTGAATCTCTCTCTCTCTCTCTCCAACTTGGGTGTAACACTGAACAAGACCCAACTTCAACTTCTCAAATATTGGGAAGTTGATATATAGGAGTATAAGATAGCAAAGGACAGTATGAGTATAATTTAATGCAATATGATAGGCCCTCCGGAAATGGAAAACCCACCATTTATAGATGATGCCTCTATTTTTAGGGGATGTTCCATTGCCATGTTTGATTACCAAAGGGTGTTCATTATTTCCAGCAGAGTCATGGTGTTTGCATCTCCTTGGCTATTTAAATTTAAGGAGTGATGTGATGTGGGCCTTCCCAATTCATGATCTTCCTCTTGATCCTCAAGGTGTGAAACTGCATGAAATGCACTAAACATCCCCAGTACTAGGCCAGCAACTCTGGTTGATGAAGGTAAGCTCCACGAGTCTCTCGCCAGATACCTGCACGCAGGCAGTAAGCAGCATCAAACCATGGCACCCGGCATGAGCAGCGACAGTTCAAGCCATTCGAAGAAGCAAATGATCCATCTTGTTCTGCTATTTCAACCAGAGAGATGCCTTTTTTCGTGAAAGTGTCATCCCAAAAAGCTAATTCGTCAACAGTTCCTCCAACAGACCATCAATCGAATCTCTTGGTACACCCAGACTTGTTCGTGGGAATTGTTTAAAGGAAACCCCACATTCCTGTCATTTGGCTTTGTGTCAACAAAATGGTGCTCTAAATTCCACTTGGTTATCATCATTTTCCCCTCTAAATCTCTAAAAGCTATCAAAATCATTCAAAATCACATTTTT